CTTTTGAGAAGAATGGGCTTTGTTTTCGGGACCTCTCCATAATTTTTAGAAGGTTCGCAAATTTTAGGGTAAGGGTTGATGGGTATGACTCCCTAAAATTATAAAGTTTTTACGGAATTAGGTGATTTTAAGGGAAGTTCTAGAGATGTTCTTAGCTTGTGTTTTCTTAGTGAAAGGGCTGTGAAGGAGACCTATACGCCCTTATTGCTGTTGTGATCAACTTTTGTTCGTTTTTCCTCTTGCTGCTAGCGATGTTAGTATTTGGTGCAATGCTTGCGTTTGCATTTTTAGGGTATGATATGTGTAAGTTAATTTGTTCATTCTGGTTGCTTATTTTCGATTTGTATTCTACATATTTATGGTCAGATTCATGCATTTTCTTGATTTGTATTTTACACATATAGTTGTTTTATTCAACAATACACATGTGAAATGTCTCTCAGACTCGATGTGATATATCCATGTGTTTCTTATGGGCAGATGAGATTAAAACTAGTCGATTGAGTGCATGTTTATGTGCACAATTTGTATGCCATCATTACTTGCATCAAATTTGTGGCAAATTTTCCTTATATGTCAGTCTTTTGGTGTGAAATAGATGGAAAAGGCCACATCTTTGAGATAGAACATAGTCAGTCCCACCAATCAACTCGAACATTAGCGTGGTAAATGTGGGCATTAGCTACAACATGATCATTTACAACTAATAAATCAACCTTCAATGAGATCTGTATCGTTAAACATCATGTAATCAGTCCTCTTCAGGGGCATTTCTGCCATTTACTGTCATGGCCACAATTCACATCCCTAGTTGCCGAATGGCTTTACAACTTTCTTACAGCACACATCACACAACTGGCAGTTAATCAGACACAACCTTAGTCTTCCGTTGATGAAGGTTAATTTTGGCTACACGGGGATAGTGTTGGACATACAGTTTTACGAAGGTGACACGCCAAAATCCTTTATGCGACTGTGTTAGCTTTACAGCTTTCTCGCAACGTATAACCCATAGCTATTTTTTGTCGGCTACTTTCCCACAGTTGTTGTCTAGTAAATTACAGCCGAACCTAATGTAGTCTTGGCATCCGTCAATGAAGGCTAGTTTTGGCTACACGAGGATAGTGTTGGACATACGTTTTTACAAACGTGACACGCCAAAATCCTTTACACAACTGTGTTGGCTTTACAGCTTTCTCGCAACGCATATCCCATAACTATTTTTGTCGGCTACTTCCCGACAACTGTTTTGTGGTGAATTACAACCGAACCTAACACCGTCTTGGCCGTCCATCGATGAAGGGTAGTTTTGGCTACGCAAGGATAGTGTTGAACATCCGTTTTTACAAACTCGACGCGCCAAAACCCCTGACGTGACTATGTTGGCTCTACAGCTTTCTCGCAACGCAGAACCCAGAACTATTTTTGTCGGCTACTTCCCAATAGCTGTTTCCTGGTGAATTACAGCCGAACCTAACACAGTCTTGGCCGCCCATCCATGAAGGGCAGTTTTGGCTACACGAGGATAGTGTTGAACATACGGTTTTACAAACGCGACACGCCAAAACCCCTGACATGACTGTATTGGCTCTACAGCTTTCTCGCAACACAGAACCCATAACTATTTTTTGTCGGCTACTTTTCGACAGCTTATTTATGGTAAATTACAGTCGGGCCTAAGACAGTGTTGGCCGTCCGTTGATGAAGGGTAGTTTTGGCTACACTGGCATCGACCTGTATCGTGTTTGGACCAGGTTAGTGGCATCATGTGACACGCCAAAACCTCAGTGAAAACCCCACGGTGACTGCTCCCAGCTTACAGCCGTCCATCTACCTATAAATGGCGCTAGCTCGCCGGCTCCAGAACCCACACCCATCCAGCACCCACAATCTACCAAACTCTCTTGGAGTTCACGAGCGGCGCTGCGATGGGGTCACACGGCAAGCCACCGCTACCGTACGCGTACAAGCCACTGCCCTCCGGCGCCGCCGCCGCCGCCGACGCCGACGGTGAGCGGACCGGCTGGACGAGGTGGCGCGTGTGCGCCACCGTGCTGACGGCCTCGGCCATGGTGGTGGTGGTGGTCGGCGCCACGCTCCTGGCAGGGTTCAGGGTGGACCAGGCCGTCGACGAGGAGGCCGCGGCCGGGTTCCCGTGGAGCAACGAGATGCTGCAGTGGCAGCGCAGTGGCTACCATTTCCAGACGGCCAAGAACTACATGAGCGGTACGTTATTATTAGTTGCTCCATCCCTCCGTCCATTTATTTTTCTCTGCCGTGGTCTGATGGAGAAACTGACGTCGCTGCCTTTGCTCTCTGTTTCCCGGTGGACGGCGACGGCGGCGTGCTGCTCCGGCGACATCCTGCAGATCCCAACGGTTAGTACTCCACACACTAATTAATAAGATCTTCTGTGTGGGGGGAAAAGACGGGATCTCTCTCTAGACATAATCAAAAATTGCTTAACTCACACCAAATTTGGAAGGAAACTTAATCTGGCAGCAAAACAGGGGAAAACAGAGTTTCCATAGTGGGTTCACAGGGGCGTAGATTGGATACATTGTGAGTAGAAGAAGTGACGTGCCTAGTTTGGCCCCCCTTCCCAAAATGCAAAGCGTATAAGTTTTGTCCTTACTTAAGCTTCTCTTGTTATTATGTTTATTATATAAAATCTAAGATACCAATCAGTATTAGTGTGTCCATTGTGAAATATCTTGCAGTAAACTTGCTAGCATGCATACTTTTTAGATGTACACGTTTTATATTTTATTAGTAAGGTGGGAGTAAGACACACAACGAAGCTCGAGAGTGATGTGTCATACCCCAACCACTAGAAAAATAACAAGGTGAAAAATATATCTGACCAATACAGACACTCTCGAGGCGCCATCCAAGAGTCTAGGTGCAGTTTCTCTCTCAGCCAAACGTGCAAACATGAAAGAATAATTAAGCAAGTGTGGGGTGGAACTGGGCTCGAGAATTAGTTTGGCCAATCTGATCTGATTAACTAAACCGTTGCAGGTCTGATGTACTACAATGGATGGTACCACATGTTCTTCCAGTACAACCCGGTGGGCACCGATTGGGACGACGGCATGGAGTGGGGCCATGCCGTGTCCCGGAACCTTGTCACGTGGCGCACCCTCCCTATTGCCATGGTGGCTGACCAGTGGTACGACATCCTAGGGGTCCTCTCGGGCTCTATGACGGTGCTACCCAATGGCACGGTCATCATGATCTACACGGGGGCCACCAACGCCTCTGCCGTTGAGGTGCAGTGCATCGCCACCCCCGCCGACCCCAACGACCCCTTCCTCCGCCGCTGGACCAAGCACCCCGCCAACCCTGTCATTTGGTCGCCGCCGGGGATCGGCACCAAGGATTTTCGAGACCCGATGACCGCTTGGTACGATGAATCTGATGACACATGGCGCACCCTCCTTGGGTCCAAGGACGACCATGACGGCCACCACGATGGGATCGCCATGATGTACAAGACCAAGGACTTCCTTAACTACGAGCTCATCCCGGGCATCTTGCATCGAGTCCAGCGCACCGGCGAGTGGGAGTGCATTGACTTCTACCCTGTCGGCCACAGAACCAGCGACAACTCATCGGAGATGTTGCACGTGTTGAAGGCGAGCATGGACGACGAACGACACGACTACTACTCGCTAGGCACGTACGACTCGGCAGCAAACACGTGGACGCCGATTGACCCGGAGCTCGACTTGGGGATCGGGCTGAGATACGACTGGGGTAAGTTTTATGCGTCCACCTCGTTCTATGATCCGGCGAAGAAGCGGCGCGTGCTGATGGGGTATGTCGGCGAGGTCGACTCCAAGCGGGCTGATGTCGTGAAGGGATGGGCCTCGATTCAGGTATATATCTATCTATACCATACATAGATGGAGTATGATTGTTTGACATTGCATCTATCATTACTTGTTCATTATGCATGTTAGATATACAGATCAATGCGCTGGCTCTTGCGGATTGAAATGCTGCTGTTGTTATATCAGTGCAATTACAACATATCTGCTTAAAAAGCTGATGCACGCAGGCTGATTGGCTAGAAAAGATGGGCCAACACGTAGGCAGGCAGAAACATGTTAATCACTTTGTTAACATATGTCCAACTGACCAAACCGCTAGATGAATTCCAGTAGTTTGTGAAGTTTTATGTGAATCGTTTGATACCATATTTGTTTGTGTGGTCATTTCTTCTGTGGAAATCAGATTTCATTATTTTATAATTTAATAAAAACTAGTTTCGCGTATGTTTTTTTGTTTGAAGTTGTCAATGTCAGTTGTGTACTCATGAGCTTATAACTAACTGATTAATGGTGTTTGACGTGCGTGCAGTCAGTTCCAAGGACAATTGCTCTCGACGAGAAGACCCGGACGAACCTCCTCCTCTGGCCCGTGGAGGAGATTGAGACCCTCCGCCTCAACGCCACCAAACTTAGCGACGTCACCCTTAACACCGGCTCCGTCATCCATATCCCGCTCCGCCAAGGCACTCAGCTCGACATCGAGGCAACTTTCCACCTTGATGCTTCTGCCGTCGCTGCTCTCAACGAGGCCGATGTGGGCTACAACTGCAGCAGCAGCGGCGGTGCTGTTAACCGTGGCGCGCTAGGCCCCTTCGGCCTCCTCGTCCTTGCTGCTAGTGACCGCCGTGGAGAGCAAACAGCGGTGTACTTCTACGTGTCTAGGGGGCTCGACGGAGGCCTCCATACCAGCTTCTGCCAAGACGAGTTACGGTCGTCACGGGCCAAGGACGTGACGAAGCGGGTGATTGGGAGCACGGTGCCGGTGCTCGACGGCGAGGCTTTCTCGATGAGGGTGCTCGTGGACCACTCCATCGTGCAGGGCTTCGCGATGGGCGGGAGGACCACAATGACGTCGCGGGTGTACCCGATGGAGGCCTATCAGGAGGCAAAAGTATACTTGTTCAACAATGCCACCGGTGCCAGCGTCACGGCGGAAAGGATCGTCGTGCACGAGATGGACTCAGCACACAACCAGCTCTCCAATATGGACGATCACTCGTATGTTCAATGAAGCTCTTGCATCTCATCAGTAATAAGCTACATTGGATCAAAGACGCGCACCAAGGAAGGCCAAGGCATATGTAAATGATTCTGCACAGCCTCGCTTGCAGAATTGAAACATCTATCCTTGGGTCATGTTCTGCATTGATGTCACTGTGAACTATATTACTTTGTTGGGCGTAGAATCGATATAGTTTGGGTGGGTGGAATTTTGTTTGTTTACATAGTGAACCGATGCGGTTTCCGTAATAAGCTTATGTGCTTGTTTAGAAAACTTGTGAACTATTGTTGTTTGGGAGAGTGGACTCGTGTTTCTTTATATGGTGAATGGTTGTCATTTGCGTAGTGGATTTCTATTTTCGTTTATACAGTGAGTTGTTGTAGTTTTGCATGGGAGGACTCCTTGTTTACATAGTGACTTTTATTGCTCTGGTTTTATGACTCCTTGTGTGTGTGTCTGCACGCACGTGCTCAAACAAGTCCTATTTTTTTTCTTGGTGAGGATATTTAACAAAGCTTACCCATTGTTTTATTTTGTTTATTTGGCATGCATGGAGACATTGTTTCATTTTATGTGCGATCGATGTGACTAGAATGATTGCCGATCGTCGTCATATGTAACTGTATACTATTGCGGAGATTTAAAGAGGTTTGGTCCTCTATAGATTAGGTACTTCCCTGGTTGAATTTCTTGATGTTCTTCATGGTCGACAAGAGCTATGGTGGCACAACAATGAGCTATGGTGGAAAAATAAGGACAAGTTTCATCCCACCATGCTTGGAATTTCGAGGTCTATTGTCTTGGTTGTTTTCACCGATAATTCAATTTGGAACCTGAGCTCAGATGCACCTGGAGAACAGTAAAAAAAAATAGAGAAGAAATAAAAAATAATAAGAATTGTAGTACAAGATGCTCATATGTGTGAACTCCATGCAAATTTTTGTGAAGTTTGGACACTCGAGGAGCTCCTGGCAGAAAAATATAAAATCGCATGTAAACAGTGTCATTTTTAGAAGTTTCTCAGACGCCCATAATTTGTCTTTTTTACCACGAGCTCCTTGATGTCTACATTTCACCAAATTCTGCACTGAGTTCACACGTACAAGCATCTTGCACCACAAAATAAATTGTATTTTTTAAGAAAATCTAATTTATTTGATTTTACTGTTCATTCCCGGGCTCATCTAAGCCCGGGTTCCGGAACGCCGCCCCCTTCTTTTCACCCCTTTTAAGGGTCGTTCCCATTGAGAGCTCCTCGTCAGCCCTAAAGCACCAAAAGGCATTTGTATGTGACAGCCCATGTAAAGCTTGGTCCGTTCGATAGACTCACCCTGTTTTTTTCTCTTTCGGACGCTGCTCGTTTTTTTTCTTTTCTATCATTGTAGAGAAAGGTTCAACACAAAAACAATTACAAGCTATGTATACATTCAAAAAAGTTCACAAGTGTGAAAAAACTTTATAAACATGAAACAAATTAACGAGTTACAAAATGATCAATTCTAAAAAAGAAAATTGAATTTGAAAAAAGTTCATGAATTAAAAAAGTTAATAAATTACAAGAATGTGCACAATTATATTAAAAATCATATATTCAAAAAAAGTACGTAGTTTTGGAAAATCTATGGATTTGAAAAAGCTCGTGTATTTGAAAAAATTTGCGAATTTGCAAAATATAAATTTGAATAAAAATAAGAAACAAATAAAAATTGAGAGTAAAAATGAAACTACAATAAAAATAATAAATAAATAGCCTCTTTAAAAAAAGAAAAATTAGAAAGAAAAAACCCTGCATGGAACATCGAAGGGGACCTTCTAGAATGTCTCAAAACCAGTCATGCAGATAGACACATATGACTATCCAAATAAAGTTAGCAAAGGACGTGGGTGCCAACTACCGATAACATTGTAATTGGCACTATAAGCGTTGAATAGGAAGTTCGGCTTATATTTCCCTTGCTTCGGTTACCCTTATTATCTAAAATCATTAGTTAAGTGGTACCCATTGCAAAGGTCGCTCACACCTCCTATAGTGGTGACAAGAGAGCGCACTGCATGTTCGAAACTTGTCACAACCTAGAGGTTTTATGCTCTTTCGTAGATTTGTTATTTCAAAACATTTTATTTCTTCGACCGTGCATTCAAATCATGAATTGTTTTCACCATTGTGTTTCTCTCGTCGAGATCTTTAAAATTAGACCCCATGTTATGTTTGGGCGAACTTTAGTAAAAAATAAAAATGGTAACAAAAAAGGGGAACCCCAAAAAACTCAGGAAGCTGAAAAAACCATAAACAGGGAAAAAAGGAAAACCGGTAGGAAAACTATGCTTGACAAGGAAGCATGGTTTATGCTTCACAGGGAAGCAAATTTTATGATTCAGTTTTTTGGGGTAGCATAGTTTGTGCTTCACGGCGTGCACAGCTCTGCTTTCCAGTTTTTGGGAAGCACAATTTGTTCTTCACGCGGTGCACCCTGTGAACCCAGGCACTCGCCCTGTTCTTTTCATCGTCCGCTCCATTGAAAAGTTACTCACTTTTTTTCCTTTCAAAAATATTTTAAAACATGCAATATTCTTTCAATTTTTAGGAAGCAAGTTTGTGTTTCATGCAGTGCACAACCGTGCTTTCACTTATTGAAGAAGCACAATTTATGCTTCATGTGGAAGCACAATTGTGCTTCACGCGATGCGCAGTTGTTCTTTTCACTTTTCGGGGAGCACTAGTTTTGCTTTTACACGGTGAGATTCATGCGGGGAAAAAGAAAAAAAATCAAAAGAACTCTAGGAAAATCCACACAAAATCCAAAAAAAAACAGAAAAACTAAATAAATAACACGTGCAAGAACCAGAAGAAGCGCTCCCGCGTTTGCGCCCAGCGCACTACACGTGGCGACCGCTGGGTGCACCCCAAGGCGGCCCTCATGCGGTGTTGTTGTGAAGGCCACGCAGGGGATGCCCACTGGTTAGGGTCCCCTTATTATCCATCCGCATCCCTTATTCTCATTCTTATCTCATGGGTTTTGTCTTTTATCTGGGCTGTAAGGACAACCAGCCCATCCAAGTATTCCTGTGGGTCACTGAGAATGACAGCACCAAATGAGGAAAACACTATCTGACGCATTGTGCATAGGCGCTGAAAGATATAGGGCAGCGCGTACATGGGCCCACCCAATGCTTGTCTAGGTATTTCTGAGTGAGGTCTGGTTGGTTTTCTTTTTCAAGTTTGTTTATTTTTTTATTTTTATAAGATGTCTACAACAATTTCAAATTTTGTTTGGAAGTTTTATAAAATGTTTGCATTTTCAAAAATGTTTGGGATTATCAAAATTTATGTGGAAATGAAAAATATCACTGTTTCAAAAAATGTTCGGGATTTTAAAAAAATGCACTTTTCAAGAGAAAGTTTGAAATTCTTGAAAAATCAGTAAAAACTAAAAAAGGCAGCATTTTAAATTTTGTTTGGAACTTCCAATTTTTTTTGGTAATCAGAAACATTTTTTCCTTTCAAAAATATTATTGAGATCTCCCAACTTTGTTCAAAATTTTCAAATTTCATTGGAATATTTAAAAAAAGATACAACTGTGCTTTTCAATTTTCAGAAAGCAATTTTGTGTTTCACGCAATGCACAATCGTGACTTTTCAAAGAAGCATAGTTTGTGGTTCACGCGATGCACAATTGTGCTTTTCACTTTCCGGGAAGCACAACTTTTGCTTTTTACATGGTGAGCTTCATGGGGAAAACAAAGAAAATCAAGAGAAATCTAGGAGAATCCATGCAAAATCCGAAGCAGAAAAAACAGAAAAAACTAAAAGAACATGTGCAAGAACAAAAAAGAGCTCCCGCAGTTTCACCCAGCGCGCTACACATTGTCGGGGAACGTAGTAATTTCAAAAAAATTCCTACGCACACGCAAGATCATGGTGATGCATTGCAACGAGAGGGGAGAGTGTTGTCTACGTACCCTCGTAGACCGTAAGCGGAAGCGTTTTATCAACACGGTTGATGTAGTCGCACGTCTTCACGATCCGACCGATCCAAGTACCGAACGCACGGCACCTCCTGTTGGGGAACGCAGTAATTTCAAAAATTTTCCTACGCACACGCAAGATCATGGTGATGCACAGCAACGAGAGGGGAGAGTGTTGTCTACGTACCAACACAGACCGACTGCGGAAGCGATCACACAATGTAGAGGAAGTAGTCGTACGTCTTCTTCCCGATCCAAGCACCGTTACTCCGGCACCTCCGAGTTCTTAGCACACGTTCAGCTCGATGACGTTCCTCGGGCTCCGATCCAGCAAAGCGTCGAGGAAGAGTTCCGTCAGCACGACGGCGTGATGACGATCTTGATGTACTACCGACGCAGGGCTTCGCCTAAGCACTGTAACGGTACGATCGAGGTGGAATTTGGTGGCAGGGGGCACCGCACACGGCTAAGGAACGATCTCAAGGATCAACTTGTGTGCCTTGGGGTGCCCCCTGCCCCCGTATATAAAGGTTGGAGGAGGGGGAGCCGGCCGGCCAGGGAGAGGAGGCGCAGGGGAGTCCTACTCCCACCGGGAGTAGGACTCCTCCCTCCAATCCTAATCCTATTAGTTCTCCCGGGGGGAAAAGGAGAAAGAGGGGGGCCGGCCCCTTCTCCTAGTCCTACTAGGACTTGGGGAAAGGGGGGGCGCCGGCCAGCTTGGGCTTGTCCCTTTTCTCTTTTTCCACTAAGGCCCAATAGGCCCATTAGTCTCCCGGGGCATTCCGGTAACCCTCCCGGTATTCCGGTAAAATCCCGATTTCACCCGGAACACTTCCTATGTCCAAACATAGGCTTCCAATATATCAATCTTTACGTCTCGACCATTTCGAGACTCCTCGTCATGTCTGTGATCTCATCCGGGACTCCGAACAACCTTCGGTACATCAAAATGCATAAACTCATAATAACTGTCATCGTAACGTTAAGCGTGCGGACCCTACGGTTCGAGAACAATGTAGACATGACCGAGACACGTCTCCGG